AAAATTGACCATGGTCAACATAAGGGCTGACAACTAATAATTGGCTTTTCTTTTAAGATTTCACTGTCGTTGGAGCGAGTCGAGCCCAATGGCTACAATGAAGCAAGGCTCATGTTAAAGATATTTGAAGCCCATTTAAGACCTTCGTAATAGACCAGGTCCAGCCGTCCAGGTGCATGTTTGTGCATAACAATTTTTAAAATTTAATTATTATTATTTTTTTAAGAATAATTTCAGAAACTTTAAAATAAAAATAAGTTAATTATGTATCACGTTACCTTGGGATACATTTGAGTCATTTGACTTATCATGAGATATTCGTATTCATTTCTCCATTCTTCTCCCTTGACAAAAAAGAAAAATATTATCTTGATCCTTTACATATATACACATAACACTAATTCGGAAAAAATCATAATATCAAATTGGATTTTAAAAAGTTTAAAGTGAAATAAAAATAATCCAAATTATTGTTACACAAACCTTAAGAAAAGTTTATTTTAGCTAATTTGTTTGTTAGGAACTTTTTTAACAAACTAAATTAATATGAAACGTGTCTCCAAAGAATGAAAATGATAATTTTGTTGTATACTTCACAATTCTGTGTGCTTTTCTTTTTTCTATAGTTTTCAAAGATTTGTTTTTTTAGTAAACTCAGGATGTTCCAACTCCGTAGGATGAGATTAATTCTTTTGTGGCGTGAAGCGAGAAAGTTTTTACTATTGACACCAAAATACTTCTCGTAGAAATTAAACACATAACTTCATCAATCACCAAAGCTCGACCCTTGGACTGGAATATATCTTTAGTGTTACTGTTATATCAAGATTCAGTTCATCTCACCAATGAAAGCATTACACATCATAGGACAGAGAAAAAATTTGGCAGAAAAAAAAAACTTTAGCTGACATGTAATTTTTTTTTTTGTGGGATGTACTGAGGTGCAACAACAATAATACCAAAAATTTATTCTTCGGACTGCAATCCATTTACCAACTAAACTACACTACAGGGTTAACAGTTATTTAATACATTGTAAGGGTTTATATGTATAAATGTTAAAATCTATATATTTTCAACCTGGGATTATTTAAGTGTTATTTCAAAAAAAGATGAGTATCATATTATTTTAAAATTTATAAAATTTCTATTAAATTTTATAAAATAAATAATAAAAAAATGTGATAATAATATTCCTTATATCGTAAATTTTGATATGATGTGTGTAAGGTAGAAAGTAATAGAAAAGTCTTTAGCAGCGAGATAATTTATTGTGAACCGGGACCACTATTTTTTAGGTGGTCCTTTAGTGTAAATAAGAGGGTAAAATTGAAAAAGAGGAAAAATAATAGGGGTAAAAAGGGAAAGAAAAAATTAATGATGTGAGAGGGAGCACCAAAAGATTCAATGGTCCTGGACCATATTAAATATTTTCCTTAGCAGAGTGTCCTACGGGCTATAAAAAACGAAAGATAATAGGTTTGCCAAAAAAAATAAAAAATAGTTTTTTATTTTTTTGGTACAAATAAAGTTAGGGTTCACTTTTTCTGCAGTGCATATAACTTATCTACAGTAAATCTAATACGACGTCGTTTTGAAATAAAAATATTGGTGTTTTTGTAATTTTAATTTATTTTAGAGTTATAATAATCTTTATATTTATAATTTTTTAAGATTTCAATACTAAAACGGCATAGTTTTAAAAATAAATGCAGATAACTTATTTGCAAATAACTGCAAAAACTTTTTTTCCATTAGTTTATGGGTTTAGTATTTCGCATATTGTATGAAATAAATTTATCTATTCCATATATACAATGACAGTATATGAGATGCATATATTCTTTTTTCTTTTCTCTTATCATATGCATTCCACGTATTTTTATGCTTATGTAGAAGATAAATTTATCTCTTATAAAATAATAAACCCTATTTTATTAGCGTACATCCTTCATCCTTTTTAATAATTTATAGGAAATGATGGGACGATGCTCCCGCAGATTTGCTTCAACGGAAAGTGCCTGACAGCGATGCCACAAGTCAAGGAACCGACCAAACAGAAAACTACGATTCCGCTTGGCGATTTCAGAATTTTCATTGGAATATCTAATCAGTGGTCGGTGGATCCACGTCATTCTTCAGTGTCCCCAAATTACTCTATCCACCTTTTTAAATTATCATCTCACCATTTTTAAATTATATTTTTCACAGAAATTTATCTACTTGCAGTACTATATTAATGCATCATTAAAAACTCTAAATTTCTATAGTAATTTTTTTTTAAGGTAAGGGGATGTTTGGTTCAGGAAATTTTTTTGGAATAGTAGGGAAATGAGATAGATAGAGAAATGATTGGAAAGATAGATAAAGTGAGATAGGTAGAAAAATGTAAAAAAAAGTTGTTTGGTGGGAAAAAACTTTACTGAGAAAATTAGGTAACTTTATGAAATCAACAGTGCATTAAAAGCCAGATAACCGGTTTTTCAAAAAATCTCACCTTCAAATTGGATTTCTAAACAGTGCGGATATCTATGTTTTTCATAAATCCAGACAAATTGGATAGATGAATTTTTGGTGAAAAACGTTGAAACAAACATGGTGTTTCTAAAAGTTATACTTGAGAAAGATAGATATCCACTGAAAAGCTCCCAACCAAACACTACCTAAGGAGAGAGACAAATTTTATAACTTGGAATGTGAAATATAGACGTAGAAGAATAAGAATAAGAATAATAATAATAGAAAATAAATATTTTAATATGTTATTTAAGATGATTATATCTCATATGTGTGAGGACCCTAATTATTCATGAGAAAATCAATAAAAAATATGAGATGGAAATAAGGAATGACAAAATCACCACTATTAATTTATCCATATATAATTAAGATTTTTTTACATGATATAATCATATTAGATAATACATAAGAGAATATTTTCTAACAACTAATTGAATGTATATTAGTTATTATGTGAAAGCGCAAATTATTATTTTCAATGATCAGCGTGAATTGTGTTCAAACTAAGTTGAAATTATTGTGAGATTGCATTTATTTTCTCAATTCAAATTTAGTTCACTATAAAATTGATTTAAATTGGATTTGTCTATATCGAATCTTATGTTAAATTCAACTATTTTAATAACTTATTTCATCAATTGTATAGTTATATTTTTAATTTTTTAATTATAAAATCATTGGATATAAGAGAATCAATGATATAAAATATATGTAAGACTTTTTATTCTTATATTCGTACAAGAATAATTTACTCTTAACTCGAAATTATTACTCAATATAATTTAATCAAACTGTAAACAATATCAAATACACTTTAATATTATATTAAAGCGTTATAAACTTATAATACTATTAAGATTCTCAGCCATACGTATCGTACAATGGCATTATGATATTGTAAGGCAAATTTTTTTGCTGGTATCTCGGTTTATCAGTTCCGATTGTAATTTTATTCGTGTCCGGATAATCAGGTGGCTGACTTTTTGGCATATCTTGATAAAGATTATAATCCTGGTAAGTGACCGGAGATCTCAATATCTCACCAATCGAAACCTTATTCGTGCACTTCTCTACTGTTTATACACAGAGAGAGAAAATTTTCGCATAATTACATAAAAATTATGTGAATTCTATTGACTATTTTTTTCTTTTTTTTAATAACATAACCTATTCATTGTTATACGAGTGACAAAAAAAAAATATCTGCAACAAAAGTGTATATATATATTAGGGTTCACTTTTTCTGCAGTTATTGCAGATAAGTTATTTGCAGTAAGATCAATACGACATTATTTTGGGACGAAAATTATGATATTTGATAATTTTAATTTATTTCAAGATTATAATAGTCTTTATATTTATAATTTTTTAAAATTACAATACCAAAACGACGTCGTTTTGAAAATAAATGCAGATAACTTATCTGCAGAAATATTTTTTTCTATATATAATGATATAATTAGAAGATTTATGCCGATGTAAACAATGTTGTTAAAATCGAGATATTAAGTAAAATCAGAAGGGGACTAAAAAATCGTAATGTAAAAAAATCGTAAACAATCGTAAAAACATAAAAGCATTTGGAATATTAGTAAAATCGTTTTGATGAAAAAAATCGTAAAATTATAGTGATAAATCGAGATTTTAACATTAGTAAAAATTAGAAATATTATACCAAATCTTATTTGTTGATTCATTTGCATATAATGATTCAAATCTTTAATAATTAGAACTGCTGATATAAATAAGATCTATCTATGATCCTTTAATATAAATAATATTTATTATTAAATTTAAGAATGTAAGGATATAAAATAATCTGATATATATATATATAGACTCATAAATATATGAGCCCAGAAAAAAAATAGTTAAAATCAACTGATTTATCGAACAAGCACAAAACTTAGCTCATAAGCTGACTCGTCTTGATGGCGGTACCCACAAGGCCACAACCACAATTCATAATGCAAAGCTTACAACCAGAACTCTAAGCCTATTGAAAAAAAGAAATGGGAAGTCGAGAGTCATTCCCAGCACATGAGGTCACTGGGCAATAAACAAATATCAAGAGCACGGGACCCACCACATTGAAGACGTGTATGGCTAGGATTTCTCCTAACTCGTCTGATCCAGACCAATTTCTAGGAACCCGAGGAACTTATCAACGGTCACTTTCTTCTCAACGGCTATTTTTAAAGACATAATCCAACGGTTCTCAACGCTCCGGCGGTTGCCGCCCTTCAATATTATTGCACGTTATTAGACTATTGGACTCAAATGTAAGGTTGCCGACCGCGACGGTTGTCGGTAATTTAGGAGTAATCGGGACATGAGAAAATGATTATTGAAAATTGCAAATACCATATTAAATTATTAACGGTTAATTTTTTATATTTTATTAAAAAAAGCCGTTGAGCATTTGATCATGCCATGTATAAAAAGGTGTAGGTGCATGTATAGTCACATGCTAAGAAAATAAAGGAGGATCCATCTCTTTTAAAAGCAGGGTCCCCCTCGATCAAAAACTTCAAGTTGTTTGTTTTGTTTTATGCTACCATATAATATATAGGTAGAGGGTTGTTCTGCTGATCTGATTTTATAAGATATAGTACTCGTTTCTTTTAACTATATCAAATATTCATAATTGATTCAAGTCCTCTCTTTCACCTTTAACACTCAACTATTATCATTTTCCTGTAATTTTTTTGTGTAATCTAATTCCCAGGCTACTGATCCGTTTGTTTTTAAGAAGATCATTGCCTATTCTGCTTCCCATATACAGTTTTTCTCTGTTTCGTTCTTATACATACACCTTTATGGACGCTGTTTTGACATCTCATGCAACGGAACAATCAATTGTTCCCAAGAAGCAAATCAGAATCAAAACCCCGAAGAAAAAAGAACAAGGTAATTTCATTTCTAATCCCTCTGAGAATTTTGACATATATGCAGGTCTCTTGAATCCTCCCCCTCCTCCTCCTCCTTCTTCACGTGCTATGTCTTTTTCCAACTCCTACCCATTCTCATCAGCTTCTTCAATCGTCAATCATCAATATGGACAAAACCATCAACCACCTCTGCTTCCTCTGCCACGTGTTTCCGCTATCCATCACCAGCCTCTTCTTTCACGAAGCCTTAGCAGCAGCCAAGGCCTCTCTCTCCCACCACCGGATCGGAAAAACAGAACCAAAGACATGTCTCTAACACCCAAGAAATCAAAACCAACGAAGAAGCGAGAGGAAGTGAAGAAGAGATCAGGAACCCAATCCATATCGGAGTTTCTGATTGTCGCTTCGGATAATAGCTGGGGACCCGACCCGAAATACCTTCCCAAGCATCTTCCCGTTGTTTTAACGTCAAAGGAATATTCAGGGAAGGGTCTTAGCACGGTTTCCGTCGGAAACATGGACATGTTTTCTGGGTCCGTTACGTCTCCACCACCGAGCAGCTTGCCTCTGCCAAGGTTTTCTCTGAGATCAAAACTCAGTTGCAACGCAGAAGCCGCTGGTAACGTTGATGCCAGAGCAACCAACAATCTCCGGCGACTTCTACGGCTCCGATGAAGTTGTTCTCTTTTCGTGATCGTAAATAGCATGAATGAATACATATATGCTTTGTTGTGCCACGTCACTTACTATTATATTATAATATTAGTTTATATAATTATATGTAAATAAAAAGATCGGCGAGGGTAAATTGCTGATTGGGGTGTGACCGATGAAATATCCTTTGTTTTTGTTTTCCCAGAAAGGGAGGGGATAATACTGGGTAATGAAATGCTTTATTAGCTAGATTTGTGTACCACCTATATTTTTTTTGAATTGGGGTGCACTGATGTTATGGGTAGTTCTTTAGATATGTATTATGCACCATCAGTTAGGGTATATGGGGTTCCATAAGCTATTTGTATTTTCTCCTAATATAATAATGATTTGAAATTTGTGTTGGAAATTATATATTTTCTGCTCTCCTTCATGTTCACTATTTTATATTCAGCGCTCCATTTAACCAAGCAGTGTTTATTTTTCCTTTCCCCGCATCAGATCATGTTTCTTTGCCATCTTGAAGGGAAAAAAAAAAAAAAAAAGATCGAGGTTTTTTGACGTAACGTGTATTGAATTATTCCCAAATTGTTTTGGGTAAACTGCCATCAGATCATGTTTCTTTGCCATCTTGAAAGGAAAAAAATAAAAAAAGATCGAGGTTTTTTGACGTAACGCGTGTGTATTGAATTATTCCCAAGTTGTTTTGGGTAAAACTGCCATCAGATCATGTTTCTTTGCCATCTTGAAAGGAAAAAAAAATAAAAAAAAATCGAGGTTTTTTGACGTAACGTGTATTGAATTATTCCCAAATTGTTTTGGGTAAACTGCCATCAAATTCCTCTTCGAACAAACGTTTCTAATTGATGATTTCATATAGACGATAAACGTTTTTGCTATAATTTGAATCGACAGTAGAGAGCAAAAGCCAGCAAGATCAACGATGTCATGATATTTTTTTGTAATTAACATCTAACGAGGGAGATAAAAGGGATGTTAAAAATAGTGTTAAGATTTAAGGTGATGTTAAGATTTAAAATAATATACGGAAAAAGTTATATTTACAAATTTTTTATTTACAAACTACCGATAAAAAACTCTTGAACGGAGTTTTATCAGTAAGATATAACATAGTTTATAAATTTATAAAAAAAAAAAATAGCAATATAACTTTCTCATCATATATTGCATAAACTTTACGTGGGTTTTGCTAAGTAAGTACTTGAGCTAACTCTGTTTAGTGGAATCGATATAAATTGTACATAATAATGAATAATGTAATTTGTCAAGTAGTGTATTACTATTAGTCAAGATAATGTTTTTATCTCACAGTAGACTATGATGTAAGAATTTATAGAAGTATAGAAAAATAATTTAAAAATTTATATACCTCTTCCCTTCAATATGTTGGAAAATTCAAGTGTGATGAGTCTCACAATGATTGATAATAAGCTAAGTGTCTAGTATATAAGTGGAAGGGACCCATGAACCCAATGCCTTAAGATTTTGGGTTGAGACATGGTGTCGGATTCACTTGCTACGGTTGGTGTAGCCTTAGCTTATTGGTGGTTGCCCCCGCCACGGGCTTCCCCCTGGACCCGCCTGACATTGGTATCAGAGCACGAGTTCAACGGGTTCTGGGGAAGACGAGATGGAGACCAGTGGCATAACCAATGACAGAGACATGTTCAAGCTGACCGCAGACAATTTCACCTATTGGAGACCGATGATGGAAGATCATCTCTACTGGAAAGATTTACATGAGCTCGTTATTCTTGAAAAGAGACCGGAAGGCAAAACCGATAAGGAGTGAGAGATTCAGATTCGTAGAACGGTAGCTACAATTAGAAAATACATTGACAAAAATCTCTTTGAGCACGTGTCCGAGTTTACAAACGCGTACGAGTTGTGGACGAAGTTGGAGTCCATGATTCAGAAGAAGACTCCCAGGAACAAAGCACACCTGGTTCGCCGACTTGTGAAGCTGGAATACAAATATGGTATGAGCATGATTGAACACCTCAACACCTACAAATGTATTGTGAATCAGCTGTCAAAGGCTGAGATGAAAATTGATGACGAGATGCAGGTCTTGCTGCTGTTGAGCTCGCTGCCAAAAAGCTGGGATACTCTGGTGGTGACCTTGAATAATTTGACTTCAGATGGAAAATGGAAGATGAATGTCGTGACAGACAGTCTCCTGGGCGAAGAAGCCAGGAGAAGAGAACGAGGTATTTCGAGCACGTCTGAGGTCAACGTTGCTGAGAACAAAGTGAAATCCGACTCCCGGGGTAGAAGCAAGAGCCGGGGTCGAGATCGTGACAAAAGAGGAAAGTCCAGAGGTCGGTCAAAGTCAAGATATGAGTTGAAGTGCTTTTACTGTGGAAAGACAGGTCATAAGAAGCCAGACTGCGATGAATGGATCTTCAAGTACCTCCGAGGTACGACCAATTTATGCCTCCGATTTGGAGAAGGCAAAGTCGAGTTGCAAGGCTACTCGGATTCTGATTTAGGGGGAGACTCCGACTCGAGGAAGTCGACGACGGGATACATGATGAGATTTGTCGGAGGAGCTGTCTTTTGGCAATCAAGACTTAAGAAGTGTGTTGCACTATAGACAACCGAGGTTGAGTACATTGCCATTACTGAGGCAAGCAAAGAGATGCTGTGGATGAAGAAGTTCCTCATGGAACTCGGCCATGATCAAGGCAAGTACGAGCTGGATTGTGACAATCAAAGCGCAATCTATCTTGCGAAGAATTCGACCTATCACTCCCGCACTAAGCACATTGATGTGAGGTATCACTGGATCCGGGATATGGTGGAAGGTGGAGAGCTCGAACTCGTCAAGGTGCACACTGACCTAAATTGGTTCGACATGATGACAAAGCCGGTTCCAGCAAGGAAATTTGAAGACTGCTATGAAGGAGCCGGGTTGATGCTGAAGCCGACGCATTGAAGTCGGAGGGGGAGATTTGTTGGGCTTCCTCCTTCAATGCTAAGCCCAAGCCCATCGAGGGGTTTCCAAAAATCTTAAACCCTAAATTCCACCTCCTCTATATATTCATTAGTTGAGGGTGGAGGCTAGGTAAGAAGAGAGAGATTAGAAATTTGAGAAAAAAATGTTTGAGCAAAGCTTTATGTTTTGTATTTGAGAGATCTCTAGAGAGAGTTTGAGTGAAATATCTCTAGGGAGATTTGATTATCACAATTGTTGGAGATGTTGAGTTAACCACCACATTGGTGAATTTGATTCTTTGTAACCATTATTTTCATAGTGGGTTTTTGATACGGACTAGGTCCCGTGGGTTTTTACTTCTTCATTGGAGAAGATTTTCCCACGTTAAAACTGCTTGTGTTCTCTCTCTCTCTCTCTCTCCTGTTTTGTGATTTTTCGTTTTGATTTTTCGCTGCGCTGCCCGACCTGGTAAAGTTCAGGCCGAGGTATTGCCGATATCCGAGATCGAGGATATTGTTGATTGACTTCCGCGAAAAGGCTCTTGAGCCGATTTGAGGGAACCGAGTTCCCAACACAATAAACCTATAATATAAAATAATTAAGACTTCATATCAAAATACCAACAATGAAACTATATATCATGTACGAATTTGGTTTTGATAATTTTAGGATGAAAATTGTTTTTTATCAAATGCATCAAATAGATTTTGATTACAACCATATATGTTATTACTGATTTACCAACTGATAAATGCAATTTTTTTAGGTTATTTCATGAACATATATTTAATCATTTAATATGTTTTATTATGCTATTTCGAGTTCAAAATAAACTAATCCAAATATACGAATTATAGGTTATATAAATGTGTGTATGGATAAACTTGAAAAAAAGATAATATTTTGGGGTTATTTATTTGGAAGCTACCTTTCTAATTTTTAAGGAAAACACTAATATTGATTTTTTTTTATTAAAAAAATCACTTTTCTAAGGAACCCTATGTTGGGGTTCTAAAATGGATTAACCTAATAAAATATGGGTTTTATAATTAACATGATAATTCAAATTTTTCTACACACCTTTCGATTTCCGTGCTGACATGGGTCTTACATATAATTTTTTATAACACATGAGTCCCACATACTTTTTATCTCTACAACATGAGAATTGAATTCTCATTTAACATGAGAAAATCAAACCCCATAAAATATAGACCCGAATACAACACGAGCTAGATTGGTCCTTGACAGGTTAGAATAGCTCATTCGACACATGATGTATACGGGGCTGGTCCAAAAGGAAAGGTGAAAGAGGGTAATGAAGTGTTTTGTTTGCTGAATTTGTGTAACACCATTTTTTTATTTTTTTTAATTCAGGGCCACAAAAAATGATGCATAGTTTTTTCCGGATGTTTATTTATGTAATTTACACGACGAATTATTGCATTAGTTTTCATCTATTTTTCAAACAAAGGAAAAAATAAAATAACTTACAGCGCTGAAACAAATTGTCTCATGCAAAAATATATGAGACTCACTTATTTTTTTTTCTTTTTTTTAGTAAATCTCATTTACTTTTTTTATATGTTATATGAGAAAATTTGCCTTATGCAATACGGAAAATAATATTCTCATATAATAAACACGATTGTTTTGAAAATATCAATCCACTTTTATTTATGAAACAATAATGTTATTTATTATATTCTTACACATGCTACTTTTATTTTAGATACTAAAATAAAAATACATTTCTATACAATTTTTATCTTTTTTTTTTCTCTACAGCAAAAAAAAAAAAAAAGAATGGTGCAGAATTGTTAAATGTGCAAGTAACATTACCATTTCACAAATGACAAGTGGCAGAGCCAGAAAATTATTCAACCTTGCCAAACACTAAATTTTATCTTTTTCAGATACTGTAGCCTAGCTACAATTATTTATTCACGTATAAAATATAATTAATTTTTGAAAATCTGTCAGGGTCAACATGGCTTCGCCACTCGAAAAAAAAAAATCTAGTGCGGAAAATAATAGCAAAAGAAAAATAAAGGGAGACATATACCTTAAAAAGAAGAGAACACAAATGGAGATATTTGAACGTAACAGAAATAAACGAAAGGTATATGTATCGCGCAATCGCAAAGCACCTGTCTTGTTCAGTCATTCATAAATTAATGAAAGGTATATGCATGGCAATTGCAAAGAGCAGCCCGTCTCATTTGAGTCATTGTCTCAATGGCCCAAGTGCAACGCAGTAATGCAATATATCTCAATTATATCATGCATGAGCTTGTTCTTCAGACTCGTGGCCCCAACGTTAACGATTGGAAGACTTTATTTATCGGACAAGACAAGGTGATTGACTATTAAATGTTGCAATACCAGATGTAAAGTTACAAATGATACTATGAAGCGTGGAACCTCTTTCAGAATCGATTTTAAAAAGCTAAATCTACAAAACAAGGATATAATAACATTTGTTTTCATAAATGTTGCTAAAAATATTATTTTATAAATATTCACAACATTTTAATATCTGTTATAATAGTGCCGCCAACTAGCTGATACTGCATGCATGATATTTTTTTCATCATGGAATATTGATGTTCTATATCCAATTACTCAATTAGATCATCTGAATTTCATGAAGACTCTTGCGGATGTTTTCTTTATAAGAAATTTTAATAAATATTTGTGGAGAGAGTTATACTTACTATCAAGTAAATTTACTATCTCTTACTATCTTGTTTATAACTGTCGGATAATGATCAACAAAACATGATAAAATGATGAAAGTGAAAGTGTGTGTGAGGGAAGTGGTTGAGGAGAGAGAGAATTTTTTTTGTATTAAATAACATCTATTGATTTGATTTCATCCGAAAATTATAAAAGAGATAATAAACTTATTTTGTGGTAAGTATAATATCTCCCAATATTTTATATTGTCACTCTTGAAGGAGTGTAAGCTAATGGAGACTTGTTATCTAATTTAATTTTAGTGACTTGCCAATTTAAACTCATTAATATTTTTCAATTTAGCAGCTTATATAAGTTTTCCCTGAATTGTATGGATAAGAAGCTTAGGTTCTGCCCCATTGTCCATACATTACTTGGTGGGGGAAATGGAAGACCAAAAGATTCCGCTAATGTTTTAGCTCCAAGATTCATATATATATATATATTATGTAATTAGAGTCAGAAATTTGGACTTGGGATTGAATGCTTGTTCCTTCTTATCCAAAATGGTTGTTTGTTAGAAGACGAGGACAAAAAAAATCCCTTTTTTATTTTCTCATTTTAATTTTGAAGAAACGAAGGAAACAAAATGGTAACATGCAAGCTGATTCTGAAAGTCACCCGTAGAAGATTAGAACAGAATAAGAGGGGGTTGTTGAAGGAGTTGGCAACAGCACATGGAGCTTGTACTTTGCCAGTATAGTTTGGATTGGGTTTGGTACGCAGTCAGCGGCATGTTATCTTCATCTTGGAAATAAAACTGCGGAAAGTAGTTTTCTCACTTTTCGGCAACAATAAGGCTAAAAATAAAGTAATAATTCCTTTGCAAGAGGAAGTTTGATCTATACAAATAGGTTTTAATATTTACCGTAAATGTAGATAAATTATTTATATTTACTTTCAAAATAACACTATTTTGGATTGAAATATTAAAAAATTAGACTATTATAATTTTGAAATAAATTATAATTACAAAAATACTTTGATTTTCGTCTCAAAACAACATCGTTTTGAGTTCAATGTAGATAACTTATCTACATTGATTAAAGAAAAATGAACCCATACAAATAATAATAAAATGTCGGATTTGATATCTTTGTATAATTTTGAAGATAATAAATAAATATGGTGAAATCATCTAATAGTGTATCGAGTTTTTTAAAATTGTTCTACCATTTAATATTTGATGAATTATAAAAAAGTGAATGCAATCTAATGATTAAAAATTGAATATGCAGGATAAAATTCTAATTTCATATAATGAACTGATGAGGTGAATTTTCATCATGCCTTAAAAACTACAGAAAGAAAAAAAATATGGATTTTCTTTCTTAATCAAAATATTTTTATTAAGATACAATTTTTTTATTTGAGAAAAGAAATTAATAAAGCCTCACAGAATAATTACTCTTTTTTAAGTGCAATTTTTTTGGAGGATTTGATTTTAAGATACAATTTTTAATTTGAAAAATTTGATTCTATTTTAAGATACAATTTTTAATTTTGGATATTCTTTTTTTATTTTAAATTATGACAACTTTAAAAAACAGATTCAGTGCTAAAATTTAAAGATTTTCTTGATATCTGGTTTTGAGAAAAAAAAATAAAAAAATAATTATATGAGCTTTTTCTTTCTAAGTGCATCCAATTTTTCGAGTATGTTATCATGAGGCATATTGAAGGAGATTTGGCAATTAACAAATACTTGCACAAATTCGCAACTAACAAAGACTTCAACAAATTCACTCGGTCCTCCTTTTAATTTAGTATTTAATGTTTTTATTTTTATTGCAGAATTTTTGTTTTGCCATATTTACAGAAAAGTGAGTGGGTCTCACTGATTTTTCTCTCTCTTTATAATGGGACACTTTAATTAATTGGAAGCGTATAACTGTATAAGATAACCTTCAAATTATTTTTTTCGTGTTTTTTGTAACCTTCAAATTACTTCTTTTTTTCCAGTAGTTGTTAGAATAGACAATGGGGAAATTATTATTGACCGGTAATTGGGACTTATATTTTGGAGCTTAGAATTAAAACGAATTGAATATAATAATTATTGTTGGAGTATATGATGGAAAGCATTGATCTAAAAATAACAAGAAAAATATTAATCGCATGTGATATAGGAGATAACAAGTCTTTCTTACACATTAAAAAAATATTGGTCCCACTTTAATTTATTTCTCTTCTCCTGTACAATGAGACCTATATAAAATTATGAGTGCAACATGAGATATTATATCTTAAGAATAATTGAGATTTGAATTTAGAAATATATTTGGCTCATTAATTAGAATGATTTGTCTCTAATTGAATAAATCCAAATAGGAATCTGAACTGGGATCGTAATTTATTTATTTTTTAAAAAACTCTCACGTAAACACCTGAATAAACTATTCGCACTATTTTTCAATTGATCAAATTTTTTTTTTTAAAATTTATGGGATAGAATATTGTGACACCCAAGTTATGTTACACCCATGTGACACCCAGTCAATCTCACCGTTAGATCGCTTATGTTGATCCAACGGTTATATTTATTTCCATCTTTGTATGGTCATGATTTCCCAAATTTAAAGTGAAAGCATTAAATATGGGAAATCATAACCATACAAAGGTAGAAATAAATATAAAATATTAAATTTGGAAAATCATGACCATACAAAGATGGAAATAAATATAACCGTTGGATCAACATAAGCGATCAAACGGTGAGATTGACTGAGTGTCACATAGGTGTAACATAACTTAGGTGTCAGAATATCCTATCCCAAAATTTATATTGACTTAATTGAAAATTTTCATATAACTGAATTAAATTGGATGGAATAAACAAATAATTTTAGAATATTAGATTTTCAATCAGCAACGCAAGACCCAACAATCATTAGCATGTCCAACTAATGTTTTCTTTTTTAATTAAGTGTGCCCAACCAACGTTATGTTTTGTGCCTTTTGCTGATTTGATATTTTAATATAAGAATCAAAATAAACAAAAATAAAAAGAATATAGAAAATAAAAAGGACAAAAAGAAATTTAATAAATTAAGGGGAATGAATTATTAGTATGAGGAGGAGGACCTAATTGTCACATGAATTAGAGATAGCTGGCAAAAGGTTGTCTCTGGGTCAGTCACGGTCAGCCAATTGTCTCAAAATCTTTTTCTTTTTCTTTTGTCTTCCTTTTCTTTCTTTCTTTCTTTCATTTGAATTGGATTTGGCAAAGTTTCAATTCAAGTTAATTTCCCTCATTTGTTCCTCTGTTTTTGCGTGCAAACAAATAGGGTTTGTTCTACATTGGAGTCTTGGAACAACAACAGAACAGAACAGGGAAGAAGCATTATCGGTTCGGATAGATCTCTGATCTGATCATGAGCGCTTCAAGGTTCATAAAGTGTGTTACAGTCGGTGACGGCGCTGTCGGAAAAACCTGCTTGTTGATTTCCTACACCAGCAATACATTTCCCACGGTTTGTTTCTGCTTCACCCTTGTTCACTATCTATGTAGCTGCTTCACTTCACTCGCCAGAAACAAAGGGGCTTAGTTTGAAATCGAATGATTATTTGAAATTAGTATTAGTATTTGCAATTGGAATTATAGATATATGGTGTGGGATTTGAAATTCACCTTATCGTACTCCATCGAATTTGGAATTTCCAAGTGATGGTTTGACTTGGTTTGGAACTTTCTAAATTCGGAGATTCCCGTTCTTATCATTACTATTACACTCTCACCCGCTGATATTAACACCTTGATGACACTTTTCTTAGCTCTTATCACTTCTGCTTTGAGTTTTAGAAATTGTTTGTAATTTGATTAGGAGCAGAGCAGTTATTACCTTATTCGTGTGGTTAATAAATATTCGGCTGAAAGGATGCACTGTTATTTCTTTATTCTTTTTGTTAACTTTACAACTGGCAAGTTATAGCTTCATGGTTTCACCCTTCTTGTCATCATCAATGACAGGACTACGTGCCCACCGTTTTTGACAATTTCAGTGCTAATGTTGTTGTGGATGGAAGCACCGTAAACCTGGGATTATGGGATACTGCTGGTAACACTGCAACCAATTCGATTATATAGAATTGTGTATATCACTTTCAGCATATTGTTTGTTTCTGTTGGTTTAACTTATTGTTTGATTAATAGGTCAGGAAGATTATAATAGACTAAGACCCTTGAGCTACCGAGGAGCTGATGTCTTTATCCTTGCGTTTTCTCTCATAAGCAAGGCTAGCTATGAAAATATTGCAAAGAAGGTTTGTTCCTTTCATATGAAGAATTTAATTAGGATGGTGATCATTTAAATTGGTTTCTGCACTTAATATAAATGCTAAAGTTGTTGTTCTTATGGTTTTTTCTTTCAGTGGATCCCTGAACTAAGGCATTATGCCCCTGGTGTTCCAATAATTCTTGTTGGAACGAAGTTAGGTAAGCCTTTACCCCTTCCTTTCCTTGAGCGGATTGGCATGTTCTTATTGGTTGACCAATCCAGATGATCATGCTATACCTACCTGCTTAGCCTTAGCTTTGGTTATTAAAGGCCCTAAAGGTTTTCTTAACTTGAAAATTCACGTCAATTTATTACCTAATCATATCAAATATAATTCTAATTCTTGGCATTTTTTTTTTTGGAGGACATTTGCTTCTTAATTTCTTTTATTCCTACACCAACCTAGAGTATGAAAGGGTTTAAACAGTGTCCTTGAGACATTGGTCTTCCAATTATCTTAAATTGTTATTTTTTGGGTTGTTCTATGGCTTTTTTTTTTTTTTTTGGAGTTAACCCAACCCTAATTATCTTTTTGAGGTGAGTTGGCTCCCCTCGGTATCCCCACAAGCTTCGACTCTTTGAGCCGACTATGGGACTAATCCGGAGTGCGGGGCGGGTCAGAGATAAAGATATTTAAACCCCTCCTAAAGGTGGCATGTGGGATCGAACCGGGGCCCTTTCCTTTCCCCTTACTCAGCTCTCTTGCTACCAACTAAACTACCAACATTTGGTGTTGTTCTATGGCTTTATTAATGCCTTGGTGTATAATACTCATAGAAATTGGATTAAAATCTTTACTGAAAATTACGTGGTCTCAATGCTTATGCATAAACAATGAAAAAATAAATTGGATTAGAATCAATGACAGTGTAGAGGAGTGGTGGAAATTCTACTTTGATTTGTTTTTGTGAGAAGAAAATAGTTCTTGTATCTAGGTTGTGTTTTGATGGTGCATGACAAAAGTAGCAATTTAATTTTCTTCATAGGATAGTAGATTCACCCTTAATCAAATTCATTTCTGTGGTGAGTAATGTTAAAATCCACTTTCAGCCAATTCATCACCAAAGTTGAATGATTTAACAACTTTAAATGCTTAATTTGGTCTGCAGATCTTCGAGAAGACAAGGATTATTTTATGGACCACCCTGGTACAATACCAATTACTACAGCACAGGTACGAAATACCATAAATTGTATCATTCTCTTCCCTTTCTTTTGGTAGAGGTTGAGGTATGAGTTCCTCCTGATTCTGAAATTTCGTTGATCTTGTTTCCACTTTGGTTGAAGGGAGAAGAATTGAGAAAGCTGATTGGTGCCCCTGCCTACATCGAGTGTAGCTCAAAAACGCAGCAGGTGCAGTTCTCTCACTTAACATTTATGCAGTAATCTTCTGATCTTCTTTTTCCCCTGTCGTTTATATTACGGGGTTTCATGTGCTCTTGTAATGACAGAATGTGAAAGCTGTCTTTGATGCTGCCATCAAAGTGGTTCTTCAACCACCAAAGCAAAAGAAAAAGAAGAGGAAGGCACATAAGGCCTGCTCAATATTGTGATTAAGAATCAGAAATTAGTAGGAGGTAGTGACTGTCCGGCCAACCTTTATTGCTGCCTCCCTATCAGTTTGCCTTGTTTTGTTTCCTATTCTCTGTAGCGAGCAGGAAGCTGTGTACAGTTTGCACTGACATCATAGGGCCTTAAAATCACAAGATTTCACACTCTGTAACTACAATTAGCTTAATTATATATTTCCTGTGCTTAATTATATATTCCCTGTGCCAACCTATTTCCTTCCATTATTATATGTTAGCAGCCTGAGGGAAATACTGCTTGCTTTGTGAATGCGGTCATATTCATGGCCTTCATTTCTATGAATTTTATTTATGGTTTTGGACTTTTGGCCAATTCAAGTCGCACATCTGAAGTTTAATACTTACTTGAATGTTGTATCTGATTGAAGAATAAAATTTCATTTTGGTCCATGAGAAGTTCCATTTAAATATTTTAATAGTTGTATAGATGTGTCCTCGGCATCGGTCAAAAACTTATTGAGCAATGGTGGTAATGAAACATGAAAAAAAGCTCAATTGTGCTTTAAATTTACTTCCTGATAGCACAGCAAGCAATCTAGTGTACGAGTAGTAAGCCCTACGATTAGCTCCATGCTTGCTTTGGGCATAGAAATTGGAATAGTGATCAAAATGTCATTTTTTGCTAGATTTTTTATTCAAATGCCACGCGAATAATATTTTTTATGAGATTGTCATATGTCATAATTCGCTATCACTGGTAACGAATTTTGTGGCTAATGATTTCGTGACATGTGGTTATATTGCAGACCAAATTCGCGACCAGTGGTAGCGAATTATGATACGTTATCTTTTTCTTGCAAAAGTGTGCCACGTGTCATAAAATCATTGGCGAATATAATTTACTACCCGTCGTAGCGAATTATGCCCACGTGACAGTCTGGTAAAAAATACTATTCATGTGGCATTTGGATAAAATTTTTGTCAAAAAATAACATGTTGGTCACTGTTGCATAGAAACTTCCCATTTTCTTCTTGAACCATATTTCTGGCCCAGTGTACCATCCTGCGGTTTTCAGAATTGAATGAACCGCAATATGCATCAAAAGGAAGCATCTGAAGCTGAAGGGGCTGATGCAGACTCACTATGCATCTCAGTCGCTATTAATTTAATTGTATCAGGCCCTGGATCGTGACTCTCTACTAATCTGTGGGTTTCATTTCTCAAAATAGTATAGATACCTTGAATGTTATTTCCTGTTAGTATGATAGTATGAAAGTTATTGAACATAGTGTACTAAATTACGTAGTTTTTATACAGCTTAAAGTGACTGACTTATACATTATTTCAACATAGTGTGTTACTGGCCGACTGCTAACCCTTGCTACATTGGCTATTTGATGAGCTGCATTCGCAATCCTCAAGCAACGCAATGATACAAATCAGATGTAAAGAAGCAATACTAAGCTCATGAATCAAGTACGCATAGGCATAATTACTAACTTCAATGATACATTAAACAAAAGCTATAATTACTTCAACAAACACAAGTATTCACGGGTGTCAATAATGCATTGAAACAATCAAACCATGCCAATTAAACCCAGTTGAGTTTCTTATCTGCATACCTTTCTCCATACTTAATACCATCTTGATTACCAAGCGAGCATGCATAGATTTCTCGGTATTCTTCTTCAGGAGCTTTGCAGAACATCGCCAAAAGAAAGAACATCATTTTAGGTTTTGGCTAAACACATGAACTAGTTGAATAACAGTAGCCAAAAGAAAAAACGTCATTTCCACCCACTTCTATTTCATTCTATTGAACTTTTTAACATCATTTTCCCTTTCAGAATTTTTGTCAAGTATTAGTATTTGCAATCAAAATTATAGATATATGCAGTGGAATTTGAAATTCACGTTATCGTACTCCATCGAATTTGGAGTTTCCAATTGATTTTTAACTTGGTCTGGAACTCTCCAAATTTGGAGATTCTTCCCATTATTATCATCACTATTACTATTCCTGTATTTTGAAATGATCTTTAATGGACCAACTGCTTCGATATAACTTAAACATTATATTAACAGCTGCTGTTCTCTGATTCTAACCTTATGACACTCTTTTTACCATTTTCTCTCATGCTTTGAGTTTGAGAAATTGTTTGTAGGAGCAGAGCAGTTATTACCTTGTTTCGTGTGTTGAAGGATGTACAAGTTGTAGAATGTAAACTTTTTCTTTCTAAAATCGTGATCAATGCTAGTAATTGTTTAATGTTGTCAAAGGGTTTAATAGGCTACGGGGATGTACTGTTATTACTTTATTCTTTTTGTCACCTTTCCAACAGGTACTGATTTAGTTCTTCGTCAAATTTTAGCTTCATGGTTTCACCCTTCTCCATTTCTACTTGTCATCATCAATGACAGGACTACGTGCCCACCGTTTTTGACATAGTTAACCTTTTTCCTTCCTATAATGGATTGACATATAGTTATTGGTTATTGGTAGACCTACCCAGTGGCCTAATCACGTTATATTTGAGTAGGACTTAGCCCGCTACATTTCAACAAATTTTATTTATGGGAGAATAGCTTATGTGATCACAGAAGGCTATTTTCATGCCAATGACATATTGTTTTTTGTGCAATTTTTATTTTATTTTTTTAAGTTAATATATGGTGGGACCCATTCGAAAGTTGTGTCAGCTGAAAAAAAAAATTCTTCTCCGGTGAAAGCATAAGAATAAAACCCTTTATTTATTATATAAGTAATTATAATTAGGCCCTAGGTAAAGTTATAAGTTGGTCCTAGCTAAAATTGTAACAATGGTAACAGATGAAGATTTGGAACTGCTTTATTGTTTTTTTCTTAATTTCTTCTTCTTCTTCTTTTATCTTTTTCCAATTAGGGTTTTCTTCAAACTTTTTTTTTCTTATTCACACTTAACCACCCAGAACTCAGTCATTCTGCGACTAAGTACGATGTTATGTTCCTCTCCCAAGATCATAATTTTTTATTGGGTGTTTTTAACATGAGTGAAATTCATGCCTTTTTTTTTTTTATTTACAACTTTTTTGTGTGTGGTTGTATTTATTGATTTTATTTCTTTTGAAAATGGAGTGTTATTTTATATTTACCTTTTAAAAAAAAAAAACTATTTTAATGTAAAGCTACCGTTGCTATTGGTAATGGAATTGAATTATTTCTTGGTGTTATTTATATTTGATTTTACAACAGGAATGAGAATTTTGGCGATTAATCAGTGAAAACTGCTAAAGAAAAAAATCAATGAAGATATATGTATATATATGGTGTATGAATTTCCTGTACATATCCATTAACAACTTCTTTGTTTTTTTTTTAATTTTTAAAATATTTAAACACTGATTAAATGATTTATATGGATCCAATGTCATTTAAATAATTTTAGACATTTGTCACTGATTGTTACATGTTTCTTTTTAATTGTGAAGTTTGTTGTCCCTATACGTTAATGTTCTTCATAGGTCACGACTAAGGGTATAAATGGACCAAGTTAGGTCAGACTTTGACTTTGATAGCCTAAGACTATGTAAAACATTTAGGGCCTGTTTGGAGCACCTGATAAAGAAGATAAGATAGAATAACTTATTATATCCTACTTTTATCTCTTGTTTTGTGGGTCAATATGATATGATTAACTTATCTTATTGTCTCATTTTATCCTATTCAATACATATCCTATGGGGGGAGTTGAGTTAGGATTCAACAAGATATGATACCAATATTGGATACCCAATATATCGTCACGCTACCCAATATATCCCCACGCTATCCAATATATTTGCATTTATTGCATTATATTTTGTTTTTTCTTTCTCCTTTCTCCTTCTACATAATCTTATCAGATTGTTAATCAGGTCTTCATCAAACACAGGACATGATATAGGCTTATCAACCTCATATCATATCCTACCCTTATCAACCCAATATCATATCCTATCCTTATCATATCCTGTCCACCAAACGAGCCCTTAGATCTTATATTGGCCTATTAGCCTATTAAAGACTTGACTTATAGGTTTGGCCTGACCTATTATAAAAAATTAAAAAATCTAATATGACCTGTAAGGCCTATCAAGTTGCAAACTAAAGTTTATAGGCCCAAACCAAATTAAAATATAAAATATAAAAAAAATATTCACAAAGATCATAGAAATAAATTTTCATTAACATCATATTAAAATATTGTTCATAAAAATCACATGAAAATGTTTCTAAAAATCACATGAAAATTTTATATATGTATATATACATATAATTTGCACTTTCTTTATTAATTTTATTTTATATTGATTACCAAAAAAAATTTATATTATATTTTAAATTTTAAATAAATATTTATTATTTACAAAAAAATAAATAAATAAATATTTATTATTTGTTAAAATAACATCAATCCTAGTACTTTAAAAATTTTAAGTAAATTTTTTTCTGATAAATTTATATAATTACGAAAATATTTTAATAATTTTATATGTCAAATTTTTGACCCCAGTTAAAATTAAATTCTAGCTCCGCCACTGAAATTACCCGCTAGCTTTGGTTATTTAAAAGGCCCCAAGGGTTTTCTTAACTTCAGAGTTCACATCAATTTATTACCGTATCATATTAAGTATATTCCAATTCTTGGCATTTGTTTTTCTTAGAGGACATTTGCTTCTAGAGTATCAAATGATTTAACAAGTGCCTTCTCATTTTCAAAAATGGTTATTATTTAGTTGTGCTAAGTAGTTATTAATGCCCTGATGTATAATACTCACAGAAGTTTGGTTAAAAAATAATATTTTCTCAATGCTTATGAAGAAATGATGAAAAAATAAAATAAAATGGGTTACCATCAGTGTAGTGAAGTTGTGGAAATTCTAGTTTTATTTGAGTTAATAAAACTTGTGTCTGAATGACTCTTAAAACAGTTTTCAGCCAATTCATCACCAAAGTTGAAAGATTTCACCCTGATGCAATGCCAATTATTACAATATCCCATAAATTTCTCATTCTATCTTTTTTTTTTTTTGGTAGAGGGGGAGGTAGGAGTTGTCGATTAGGAAATTACGTTGCTCTGCATCCTATCCTCAAAATTATATTACTGTTTACTTATCCTAACTACATTTACCAAATACCCAACCCATTATATTTTTTTTTTCTTTTCTCTTTCTTTTATATCATGGGTGTCGTGTGCTCTTGGGGTGCCATCAAAGTGGTTCTTCAACCACCAAAGCAAAAGAAAAAGAAGAGGAAGGCACATAAGGCCTGCTCAATATTGTCATTAAGAATCAGAAATTAGTAGGAGGTAGTGACTGTCCGTCCAACCTTTATTGCTGCCTCTCTACCAGTTTGCCTTGTTTTGTTTCCTATCCTCTGTAGCGAGCCGGAAGCTGTGTATAGTTTTGTATTGACATGGTAGAGCCTTGCCACATTTGAACCCTCTAACTACAATCAGCTTCATTATATATGCTAGTGCGGCCTACTTACTTTTGTTATAATACGCAGCAGTCTATAAGAAATTACTGCTGCTTAGGTGCATGCGACCATATTCATGGCCTGTACTTGTGATTCTATGAATTTTGTTGATGATTTTGGTCAATTTAAGTCACTTGTTATAAATTAACACTTATTAGTAATTGAGTGTTAAAATACCATTTTGTGTCAGCATTTTGACAGTTAAAATAGCTTAAGTTTTTAGGGCGTCCTTGAGATTTCAGCATCCTCAGATTATATATTTATCCTTGTGTAATCAAACAAAACAAATAGAGGAGGCGTCTTTTAGTGTAGAAACACACCAGAGCGTGATGCGCATTAAATGGAAGCTATCCCCACTAGTAGATATTTCTGCGCTGTCATTTTCTCCAGTTGTTTCAGAATCTCAGATTCTTTATAACTCGCTCCGGGTTGAGCTTGGAAGCAACTAAGCAATTGCCAAGGCCCGGGTTTAAAAATTTAAACCGAATTGTAGGTGAAATCATGCTATAGAAAAGAATTATTACAAAATCGGCGTTCTCACGTCACATGGGTGCTTTCTCTTGAAAAAGATAAAACAAATAAAATAACACCTACAATTAACCCGACTGCCTACATACTACGGTCTATTCCATCTACATGACTTTATCAGAATCAAAATGGAACAGCATATGGCAACGCATATAGTTCAATCTCGGGTAAGTACTGAGCACGAGGCCACAGAGATGGGCTTGAACACCGCAAGGCACCATTCATATGTTTCGCCTTTTTAGAAACGGGCCTTTCATTTTGCAGTTCCGAGCTGAGGAGCCAGTCCTGATCCATTGACTTGAATCCATCACACATAAGTGGAGGAGGAACCCAATTCTGAAATAGAGAGTTATAAACCGATAATATTCTCGAACTTTCATCTTCAATCATATTTGTCTTCGGGTCAGCTCCATCGAGTGAACGCTGTAATTCTTCACAATGCCTAGAATAAGAATTTCCCGGGCACTGGTCTCTCTCAGCATTTGTTACACATCGTAACTGATGATATCTTCCATTAGCATCTTGAGCGAAGGGATCTACAGTTCCAACATTTTTGGAAGAAGATCCCAACCGATCTTCTAGTTTGGATTCTTCAGGTTCTATATGTTTTCTGATTGAATATCGAATTTTTACCATAGCTCCTGTACAAACAAACAGTCCAAAGTAGGGTGTAAACATGGGTTAACAGGAACAACAATAAAATAAAATAAAATAATCAGTTTTTTTCTTCCTCACCATGATCATGACTACATGGCGAGGTGCTCCTTTTCCTCTTGCTGCTATTCTGGGTACTGTCAGAGGAGAAAGGTCCCACCGTAGCAACTGAATTGTCATGTTCCTCTGTAATATCACTCCTCTCTAGTTGTACATTCTCATTGTCATCACCCTTTTGCAGACAACCGCTGCTTTTCTCTCTCTTGACTTTCTCCAATTCAATGAGCTTGAACTCTGTTCCATCACTGGTATGGGAGAATGTTCCTTCCTGTACTTTAAGCTCTTTCCTTTTCGCCTTTTTTTCCCTCCTTTTCTCTTTCTTCCTCTCTTTCTTGGCCTTCTCATTTTGGAGCTTTATATCACCAGAACAGCATTTTCAAATAGAAGATACGAAAAACCAAAGAAGCAAACAAGCTATACAAGCATGCTTTTGGTTTAGCCCAATTAAAATTTATGCATTCACATCTTCTGCTATTCATAAACATTAGTTTCATCAATTGTAAGAAATATCGACCCCTTAAAAATCTAAAAATCTAGGACAATATTCATAAAGCTTGAGAGAAACTTTATTGAAAATATAAATATCTATCTTTTCCTGAAAACAAAGTATTATGATCCCAAATTAAATTTTTTTTCCATCGATACGTAAGTACTTATTTGTGGAAAAAGGAGCCACGTAAAACATTGAAAGAAAGATGGCGTTTCAAACTTTTCTTTTCACAGAAATTAACGAAAAATAAAATCCCATCAAACATTTTATTAATTTAAAAAAACTTCGCGTCATCTTGAAAATGATTTCTTGAATCAAAAATATCAAGAATCAATTTCAAAAACAAGGTTTATGCCCGTTCACAGTAGCAAATTAGTTTCTAGTAGGATACAAATACAAATAAGAGCCAGTTCAATCGTTCATCAAGACAGTGGTTACTCATAATGGGACAGGGTCGACGCAGAAACAGAGGCCTTGAATTTATTTACAGATTTCAACACATAACAGTTGATCACAAACGGAAAAACGAAACCGCTGAACGAACCTTAATCGATTCGATCAAGGCCTCGCCGGATGACCCGTTCCTCACATAACCTGGAGGAGGGAAAGGAAGGCATCGAGACATCTTCGATTATCACAAAAAAAACCGTCTGGTATTCCTTAAAATCTCCAAAACCGATCGAATGTAAGAGCGAATCTGATGATTCACTACTGGGTTTCAAGAACGCTGAGCCACAAATTCAAAAAACAAGAAAACCTAGAGTTAGGGTTTCTCTGGCGACTGTTACCCTCAAATCTGAATCCCAAAAATAATCGAGCAGCGTGTTTAGTAGGCATAGGATTGTATTTATAGCCGCAAGAGTGGGATACCCGTATTACCCTCACCGACCTTTTTTAGTTTTTTTATTTATTTTCTTATGGGCCCAACCCAACCATAAAAAAAATAGCGACCGCATTTTCTTTTATTTTTTATTCGCACAGCTGTATAATTAAAAAATAATAATTTATCTTAAAATAAGCATTTATGAATTTATTAAATAGTAAGTTAAGATCAAATGAGATTTGCGTAAATTTGTAAACACAATAAGTTCGTTCCGTAAAGTAATTAGGATTTACCTAATGGTGAGAGGTATGGGTAATTAGCGCCACCATTATTTTTCATTCTTAGCTCATTTTATCAGAAAATAATTTTGCATATTTTTGTATAATTTAACTTTCATGTTCACAACTTTATCTAAAAATAATTATACATGTCTTTTAAAAAATATATTTTACTGTTTTATTTTTATTTTTTTTTTGAATCTAAAAATATCTTGTAATTTATTAGAATATATGAAAAATATATTACAATATTCTAATTGTATGTTTGAATATTTTAAAGTATTTTTCATGATCTCTTCTAAATATTTTTCTTATTTTTTTATATCTTATGATTTCTTTTAATAAATAATTTGAAGTCTAATGTTAATATAAATAGATATTGATGTTTTATAACTTGAATTAAATCATATCACATCATAACATATAAAATCAATTACTTCATATTATCCGTTTTTATTTTTTATTTCTTTCTTTCATATCTAAATTCATATAATTTTATCTACTAAGAAAAAAATTCATATAATCTTAACATATTATAAAAATATCGTCATCTTTTGTAATATGTCTCATCTTCTATAAAATGAAAATCAGTATCGACCCGTGGAATGCTGTAGCTAACGCGTTAAGTATCCCGCCTGGGGAGTACGTTCGCAAGAATGAAACTCAAAGGAATTGACGGGGGCCCGCACAAGCGGTGGAGCATGTGGTTTAATTCGATGCAAAGCGAAGAACCTTACCAAGGCTTGACATGCCGCGAATCCTCTTGAAAGAGAGGGGTGACTTCGGGAACGCGAGAGGGAAAAAAATTAAAATAATATTTTTAATTAAATAATTACGTATTTATTGCAGTTTTGAAAAAAATTTACAGATCTATTGTACATTGTGACGCCCCATTGAGGCATCTCACCCTAAGGGGAAGACGCCCAAATGAGGCGTCTCTCATTAGGTGTTGACACGTGTCACTTTCTTTTTTCCAAAAAAAAAAAATAATTTGATCATAAAACTTCTAAAGGCCATAACTTTTGACTCGAGTATCCAAATCATGTAATTCTTTTTTTGATTCCACATAACTTTTCGAGATCTACGCAATGACATCTCATTTGATATATTTTATTTCTCACCAACATAATTTAAATTTAAATCCGGTAATCCTTCTTCCTTGGATATTTAGAATATTTATTTAATTATTTCCTTTATTAATACAGATTTTTCAAATTAATTTTAGAGTTTAAATCACAAATCAAATCTTTATTTTGTTTTTCTTATTAATAATAATTGTTACTTTTAATTTAAATCACAAACCAATTTTTTTATAATAAAAATAAAAAAAATATTTTTTAATTTAAATCACACATCAAATCTTGATTTATTTTTTGTATTAAATCACCAACGCAGAACTCAGAGGCTTCTAACTTAAAAAATGTGACACGTGTCAACAGGTGTCAAAACCTAACACATCACAATCACGTCTAAATTGGGTTTCAATCAAGAGGCAATCACGCCTAATTTAGGTAATTTTATTTTTGAAAAACATTCGTAAGTAATTTCAGACCACGAATAATAATCCAGAAGCTTATAGCATTAATCATTAATTTTAAAAATAATACCCTTCTTCCTTAGAAATTTAGAATATTTATTTAATTATTTCCTTTATTTCTACAGATTTTTCAAATTGATTTTTAGTTTAAATCACAAATCAAATCTTTATTTTGTTTTCCTTATTAATAATAATTTTTATTTTTATTTTGAATTTAAATCACAAACCAAATTTTTGTTATAATAAAAAAATTATTATAAAAAAATTTAAATCACAAATCAAAATTTTATTTATCTTTTTATATTAAATCACAAATCCAGAACTCAAAGGCTTCTGGGTTTAACCGCTCTTATAATACCATTCTTGCAAATTAAAATTGTGTTTGTAAGAAATAAAATATGTCAAATGTGATGTCATTGCGTAGATCTCAAAAAGTTATGTGAAATCAAAAAAAGAATTACCTGATTTGGATACTCGAGTCAAAAGTTATGGCCTTTAAAAGTTTTATAATTAAATTAATTTTTATTTTAAAAAAAAGTGACACGTGTCAACATCTCATGAGAGACGTCCTATTTGAGCATCTTCCCCTTAGGGTGAAACGCCTCAATGGGACGTCACAATGTGCAACAGATCCGTAATTTTTCCCAAAATTGTAATAAATACGTAATTATTTAATTAAAAACCATTATTTTATTTTATTTTTGCCGAAAACCAGAGATCAAAGTTTATCCGCTAACTGAGTGAGTTGTGTGGAAAATTTCAATTACAACCCGAGCATTCATGTGAAAATTTCAATTACAACCCGACCATTCATGTGGGTATATTTAAATTTAAAAATAAAATAAAATAAAAATACTGAAAATACATATAATTAACAATCAACGTAAACAAAATATTAAAAAAATGAATTGAAAAAAGTAATAAAAAGATAAACACAACTAATTTAAAGAGTTTAATTCAATTTTTAAAAGAAGATAAATTAATAACGACATGTGTGATTTTCCAAGAAAAAATAAATTAAAAAATTAAGTAATTTTTCTTAAACTTTTTTATCATAGTTTAATGTAATATAATTATTGATTTCATTATGACATTTTTATTTAGTGATTAACTTTTATTTAAAAAAAATTGACCAAAATATTGATAAATTCGAACTGACAGTTAATCATGATATGACAAATTAGGATGGTTCACTCCGACATGCCCCTAACTCATAAAAAATGATGTGTAATGAGTTGCTCCACCTCTTGAAAGAAGGTTAAAAATATCAACCTAATTTGTTTTATGGCAGGTTAACTCGTTTAAAAAATAAAAAAATTTAAAATATATAATATTTTATGAGTTTAATAATGTTATTTAATTTTATTTCCTACTTTCTTAATTTTTCTCCATTTCAAAGTCTAAATGTATGTTAATAATTACTGAAAATTATTTATGTTTTTATTGCAGAAAGAGTTGTCTGCCACAAAAAGTATACTCTGAAGTATATAGGCAAATGACTTTTTTTTGTTTACATTGGTGTGTCCACTTTTTAAAAAAAAAAGGAATGTCTCTGTAACATATATTACTTCTTTGCCACAATCGTAGAAAAATAATGCCCTAATAATAAATATTCAGTCCAAAAGTTTTTAGGAACTATTTTCCTCTATATATGGATTACATTGGTCATAAATAAAGTATGAGTTGGCAAAATGGGATCACAACCCAACCCTTTCTTTTTAGAGAAAACTTCAATGTATTGGGATCATTAGGTTGTAAATGGGATATGCAGGCTCACAGGAACCTACGATTTAGTCTATATTAGATCATACTCAACTTATTAAATATATTCAAATAGAGTAGACCTAGACTTTTCAAAAAGTCTATTTAAAAAACTAGGCCTATGCTTTCTTTTATGGGATAGGATATTGTGACACCCAAGTTATGTTACACCCATGTGACACCCAGTCAATCTCACTGTTAGATCGCTTATGTTGATCCAACGGTTATATTTATTTCCATCTTTGTATGGTCATAATTTCCCAAATTTAAAGTGAAAGCATTAAATATGGGAAATCATAACCATACAAAGGTAGAAATAAATATTAAATATTAAATTTGGGAAATCATGACCATACAAAGATGGAAATAAATATAATCGTTGGATCAACATAAGCGATCTAACGATGAGATTGACTGGATGTCACATGGGTGTAACATAACTTGGGTGTCACAATATCCTATCCCTTAAATATAAGTCAAACTAGACTTATAATTTGGACCTAATAAAGCTAATAGGTTAGGCTAGACCTAAAATATTTTACACAGACTTAAGTTATTTTAACCAAAGCCCAGCTTAGCCCAGTTTATTTACACCCCTAGGGATCACCAAATTCGGTTTTCTCTTTTACTAAATAAGAAATTTTTTCTCCTTTTCATCCATATTTTTATTTTATATTTTTCTTTAAATCATAAATTTTTTTCCTATTTCAAAAAGGGAGCACCAAATTCGGTGGATCCAATGCATTAAAACTTTTCTCCCAATTGTGGCAGGCTGAACATATCAACCCAACAGATTGGATCCATTTTGCCACCTAGGTTAACTTATTAGAAAATTTGCATATTAATTTTTTATGCAATTATAAACGTTAATACTAAATGATAGTAATTGAAAAAAAAATACCATATTTAAATAAAAAAAGAAGGAAAAGAGGCGAAGGAATTCGAGTTTAAACTCCTGGATTTGTTTAGTAAGGAATTAGATACCACATACAAAATTTTCAATGTTTTTTGAATTTAAACTGCTATATTTTCAAAGCACGGATTTGAGATAAATAATTAAGTTGAAATATCCCTTGCAACATGCAATTGGTGATTGGTAGTGAATAGTTTTCAATCTAGTAATTTGCTAAGGAATAATTGCTTTATTGTTAAATTAAAAATGGGTTTTATAATTTTCATATAATATGAGAAGCAAAATTTTTCTACACACCCTTCAATTTTCATGTTGACATAGATTTCACATATAACTTTTTTTAACATATGAATCTCACATGACTTTTTGTTTCTATGGCATAAGAATTCTTTTATCATGTAATATGAAAATTATAAAACCCATTAGAAATATAACTAAATCATAATGACAAAATGAAAAAATAAAATAAAAATACGACCAATGCAGTTTGAAGAGGACATTCCCATACCCTATAAATTGCATAGATTATAAATTAAGATTTTATTAAAAAAATAAAAAATAAAAATGACGGCCCAAGTTTGTTTGGGCTCTGGTTAAGCTAAAACCAGAAGTTTCCTCTCTGAAACGGTGACATCGAGTGTTTGTTGGGTTAGATTGGCGAGGATGAGAGGCGTTAATAGACTGATATTTATTGGCAGAGCCTTAAGAACCAATTCCACCGCCGTCTCCGGCGCCGGTGCCGGTGCCACCCTTCGGCAACCACCGCGACTAGCTCCATATGGCACATGCGGGAGTTCTAACCATCACAAGTTCGTTGATCGCTTGGGTCTATCAAGTCCCTCTGTTGCTCGCAGTGTCGCAGGGTTTAGTTATAGTTCTGCTGCTACATCTCTAGCTCAAGACGTTCAAGCAAAGGGTGAAGATTGCTTCAAACCCAAAGAAGTTGTTCTCTTTCAGTACGAGGCTTGTCCTTTCTGCAACAAGGTTAAAGGTGAATTTCATTATAACACTCTCACACTTGAATTTTTTTTTTTATGATTAATAGAATAATAAATTAATGTATTAAGGTAATAGAGTTGAAATGAAACTTTAAATTGCCTCTGTGACTGTAAGGGAAATAGTTTTATCTAAAAGATTGAATTTCCTATTTTTCTTGCATTGATTTTCCCAGCGTTCCTAGACTATTATAATGTTCCATACAAAGTGGTGGAAGTAAACCCGATGAACAAGAAGGAAATCAAATGGTCTGATTACAAGAAGGTGCCTATAGTTACAGTTGATGGCGAACAAATGGTTGATTCTTCAGGTTCATAACTGTCTTATTATACTTTCATTTGTGGTATATTGTATAGAACATTATAATAGTCGTTGTAAACTCACCCCTTTTTTGGCAGAAATAATTGATAAGTTGATCAAAAGGATACATCCAGATTATGACCTAAATGCAGACGAAGAGAAGAAGTGGCGTGAGTATGTTGGTTATTATCCTTTTCTAATTATTTCTTTTAGTTTTCTTTGGACTACTTGGTAGGTTGATGCTAGCTCTCTTCTCTGGTTAAATATATCTGCCATTATTAGGAGTCTTGTTTTCGCACAACTATTGATTGTCCTTTATGTCATATTGGATGCAAGATTAAGTACGTCTAGCTTTAACCCTGATGTATCACATGAACTTTATGCTTTGACTTGTTGTATAGGTGGGTGGATAATCACTTGGTGCATGTTTTGTCACCAAACATATATCGAACTGTTTCTGAGGCTCTTGAATCATTTGACTATATCACCACTCAAGGTAAGATTTTGACTAAAAGTTTGTCTGTTGTAAACTGTTATTTTTTTTTCTTACTTTCAGAAAACTAAGAAATTATTTAATATATATAAGCACAAATGATACTTTGTTATTAATTCTAGGTTGCTGCTAACAAGTGAACAATGAGCAGATTATGTGTTCTGGGATAGAGATCCCATAGAATTTTGTTGCTCTTTGATGTACATATTTTCTCCAAAAATAGTAGACATCGATTAATTATGTTTCATTTTCTCCTAGTTTCATATTGCTTGAAATTGGTGTTCTCTGAATATGAAGAGAACTCATTTATTAGAATCAATATTTCATTACATTTAGTTTCTTCTTGTAAATTTGTGATTATTCTGTGGTGACCCTAAAATATGCATAATGGGATGGATGTTAACCTGTCTCTGCAGATGCATGACTGTAAATATATCTCCTGATTCATCAAACTGTTTTACCCTGTTCAAATTTAAGTAAGCCCTGTACAACTGTATCTGTAAAAATTATATATTTTCAAAACACACCAAGAGAGGGAGAGAGGAAGTTTTCTTTCAACTTATTATAGAATAAAATGCACCTCACTTTCTGTTTCTGTTTTTCCTACTCAGTCTTAAAAACAAAAAATATAGTAGTTGTATGCCTTTTGTGGAACAATATTTATCAAGATTTACAAGCATGATTATTTTTGTGCGTTACCCTTCACTTTTTGCTTCTTTCTTTTTCCTTTTCTGCTTTTTGTCCTGAAGTCTAGCGTGTTATGGTGAGGCTAAACCATTTTTGAAGTTTCCTCTAATTATGCAGGAAATTTCAGTTTATATGAGAGGTTAGTGGCAAAGTATGGTGGGGCTGCAGCTATGTATTTTGTGTCAAAGAAATTGAAGGAGAAACACAAAATCACTGATGAGCGTGCAGCGTTGTATGGTGCTGCGGAACACTTTGTTGATGCTCTGAATGGCCGAAAATTTCTTGGTATGTTCAACCAGTATGATTTACATAGGATACAAAAATTATTAGGTATGTATCTTGTCATGAAGAATCGTAAGTGCTTATATTCTTCATTTTGGCAGGTGGATTGGATCCTAATTTAGCAGATCTTGCTGTATTTGGTGTTCTACGACCCATACGCCACCTCAAGTCAGGTAGAGATATGGTAGAGCACACGCGGATTGGGAAATGGTTTTCTGAGATGGAACATGCAGTAGGACAGTCTTCCAGGGTCAGTGAGCATAGGTAGAAAAACTACAGTCAGTTTAAACCTATAATTTATATACAATTCTATATGGGTAATTCAAATAAGTTGGCTTCTACTAAGTTTGGTGGGTCTTATTAAACGATATATGTTTTGCTCTACTGTTTATCTTGTAGTAATGGTGGTGCTTTGGCACCACATATTGTTATGGAAAATCTGGGTATACATTCAATAAAACATCTCTCTCGGGATGAACACAATAGTCTCTCTTTTGCTTCAACTTGTTTGATTATACAATTATTGGACTGCAAAAACTGACATTTTATGTCCTTCTGTCATATAGTTGTAACGATTTTCAACACAATCTGCCAACACAATGAGAACATAACACGAAAAATTCGTATTCAGGTTGATTTGTTTTTAAATTTGTATTGTGTTTGACAAAAAATGATATGAAAAAATATGTCAGATTTCGTGTCAATTCACAAATACAAAATATCTTTTTATATGTTATTTATGTCTTATTATGTTGGGTCAACTAGTATAATGAACAAAATACTTTGAGGTTGTGTATTATTGGTTAGCGATACACTTTAAAGTCAAAAGGTTATTTGTGTTGTGTTAACCAATAAAATAAAGTGGTTTTGTTGGTGTTGAAGATTTTAATTTTAATTTTAATTTTAATTTTTTTTTGTAACTTTTAACCTGTTTTTTAATTTATGTTGTGTAAGTGTTTTTGTTAGGGCCGTGTCATGGTAGTTAAAATTGAGATTTAAATCTTAAAATCCGATTTTAACGATTTATTTTTGCTAAAACGATTTAGATTTCACTTAAAATCCTTTCTAATATAAAATTCCGATTTAGACATTTACTTAAGTCCGATTTTAATATTTAAATCTCGATTTTAACTATTAGAATGATGTTAAGCAAGTTAGAAAAATTGTTGAATATAACATTGCTGATGTTTCATCCGAAGATGAATGGATTATGAAAAATGAAGAAACTTTATCTCATGATGAAAGTTTAGATGAAGACAATTTTGAATGATGTAGTTGAAGATTACGTGGAACAAAATGTCTTCGATGATAATAACTTAAATGATTTATTAGCTTAGACCCTTAGAGTGACAATTGTATACAAATGTATAAGGATGGTGGCAGGTAGTCTATTTTTCTTATTTTTTTTTTTATACATAAGCATATGTATATAAAAATTTAATTTTAGAGTGCAGGTAAAATCTACGATTTTTATTACGATTTTACGATTTACGATTTTTTATTCCCTTTTCGATTTTAGGTAAAATTTTGATTTTGACTACCTTGGACCGTGTTGTGCATATTCCATATTCCGAGGGGGGTAATTCTCGCATTTTTTATTAATAAAGAAAAAACTCGGACACTTACGGAAGGATCTGGGAAGCTGCTTTACAATTTTCTGCTTCTCTTGTATGTAGATGGCTTAGAAAAAATATTTCCTATAGTATTTAACTAAAGGAATTTCATGGGTAATTTTGAGTGTCCTAATCTCTTAATTTTTTGTAATTGGTTTGTCTTTCTACATTATATGTATTTTTTATTATTTTTTATACTTCTGACAATAATTTTAAACATTTTTTTTTATAAAATTGTATTATTTTGATTTGATATTTATGTTTATTTAGTTATTTTATATGTCAAATGATATGGTTTGTATAACAAACTTTAATTTAGCACAATTGTTTTATTATTATTTTAATTTCATGACCCTAATTTTAAATCAAATAACTTCAAAGCTAATTTAACATCTTTTATTAAAAGGCCATTTGAAATGTATCTATGAATTAAATTATACATTATTTTATCCACCAAAAAAAAATTATACATTATTTTTAGTCGGAATTATTTCTTGTCACGCTTACTGAAATTCTATATTCCATGAAGACGGTTAAATTATTAAAGTGACTGGATGGCCACAGACTAATAATATAAACAAAAATAAATTAATAAAAATCAAGGAAGATAATTGAGATAAAGATAAAATTGCAATGACAAGTAAATGTATGAAACTGGCCACTAGCTACGATATAAATGTCCAATGCGTGCAGACGGGAATCAAATCAGTATAATGTAATAGAACATAATGGGCATAATTGCAACATAAAAATGAGTTAAAATCAGGAATTGCTAGGAGGAACTAAATATAATTATTTTTATTATAAACAAGGAAATAGGAATAGGACACTGCAACGATATATAAAAATAATGTAAAATATAAAGAGTTCGGACCGAATAACCTCATTAAATAGGATATAATATTACTTATTTATTTTTCATTATTTGGTGATTTAAGAGGAAATGATAGTTTTGTTAGCTTATTTTATCTTATTAATATCATGATAAGTTAATCTAAAAGTGAATTGGGTTAGAATTGAACAGAATAAGAAACAACGTATCCAATATGGCTTTTTTCTATTCTTCTAAAATTTTTGCTTGAAATATAAGATTATTATTCCCAGTTAATCCATGTCATTGCATCGAGTGAATTTTTTTAATATAGTCTAAGACTATTATGATCCTTCTATTCACAAATTGACACGTGGACTGATTTTTTTTTTCTCTTTTTCTCTTCTCAATCTTTTCTCTTTTTCTCTCACCTCGGTCCTATCAATTTTTTCTTGGAACCGGAGCACACAAAACCAGCTCGCACCAGCCGCTAATACTGTCAGCCATCTAGGTGCCACCATCATAGCTAATCGCCTAATCATTAGTATCAATATTAACAATTAATTTAAAAGTCACTTTTAATATTTTTTAAGAAATTTTTCTATTCTTAAACTTTTAAGTTATTTTATATATTTTATTTAAAACCATAAATATAATTTTTTTAATAAATTAAAACAAGACTTATCTATAAATAAGTAAAAATAATTAGTAGTTTAAAAATCAATTTAAAAATATATAAAATTCTGATACAAAGAATAATATGTCCCAATTCCCAATACTTTCTAAGTACTATTTTTTATACATTTAATTACTATTTAATTATGCTATCAGATTGTTTATTAAATTTTTTACTCTTATCCAACCTTTGTGTCTTGTGAGTTTTTTTTTTTTTTTTTGTAAATAAAGAGGGGCTAAGCCCCAGAAATAGAAAGAAATTATAAATCAGAAACTAACAAGCTAGACATATTTCTAGCATCAGCAACTATAAGTTCCATCAACTGAGGAGGAGGATCTTTAAAAATCTTGAAATAGAGATTATTAGTCTGCCCAGCTTTAGCTAACCAATGAGCACATTTGTTGTTTTCTCTCTTGGTATGAACAAGATGAATAGTCCAATCTGCTTTTAACCATAATCTCAATCTGCTAGTGACTTGAGAGTCCCTAGGATCTTCATGCTGCTCCTTTAACATCTGTATGGCTTGGCTAGAATCACATTCTAGCTCTATTCTTTTTAATCATGTTCCCCAAAGCAGTTCCAAACCTTTCAGTAATCCCCATAATTCTGCATCAAGAGGATTGCAGGAACCTAAATTACAATAGAAGCTTCACAAAAAGGATCCATTGTGATCTCTCAATATACCACCACAACTAGCTTTTTTCATGCCACTAGAAGAAGCTCCATCACAATTCAACTTAACCCACCCTTGCTTGGGGGCTGTCCAAACTCTATCGTTGGAATCACCACGGCGCTGATAAATTCGGGCTTGCAGAATCTGTTGGACAAACATCCAAATTGAAGCCTGTGATTGCTCATCATGACAGAAATGATCTTCATGGATCTCCAAATTTCTCCACTTCCACAAAAACCAACAAGTAGTAAAGAAAATATCCCTCCAGTCCTTCACTTTATTGGAGGACCACATGTTATCGATATTTAAAGTCAACCAATCCTGCAAATTCGAATTCATAAAGGAATTGGGTATCGAACCTGTAAACCAAGATTGCCAAATTTTTCTAGCATGTCTACAATCACGAAGAACATGAATAATAGTTTCCTCATGATTTGGACAACTGGGACAGACATTTTAACCTCCGCTCCACTTACTGGTTCTGCTGCGCACTGAAAGTTTAGCAAGCAAAGTCATCCACATAAACACTTTCACTCGTTCTGGTCCATTCCACGACCAAACTTTTTTCCATAAGCTAGTGTGAACATCTGCTGGGAAGTTCATAAGATTACAGTAAGCGACCTTAACCAAAGAAGTTGAGTGATGATTATTGATCCAAACTAATCTATCCTCCCCATTCCTTGGAATAAGCCTGAGATGATTTGTTACTGCATCAGCCAAATCTGACTCCAGAAATTGATGAACAACTTCAAGACGGAAACCATCATCCACCATGTAATCTGCAATTGATTTCTGACTCTCCTCCCACGGCACCTGATTGCTCGACAACTGCTGCAAATTTTCCTCCCATCCCAACCAGTTATCAGTCCAAAGCTTTACTTCAGAACCATCTGCTATTTCCCATCTAAGACCAGCAAGGAAATTACTCCAACATTTAGCAAGATCACGCCAAAGTTTAGAGTCATATGATTTTGCCTTTATACCTCTCCTTAAGTCTTGACCTCTACCATACTTGGCTACTAAAATCTTAACCCATAAATCATCTTTCTTAGTTAACACCTTCCACGCCAGTTTATGAATATAAGCTTCATTTTGGAGTCGAAGGTTAATTATTCCCAAACCACCTCTATCTTTGGGTTTATACATTTGATCCCAAGCTACTAAATGAGCCCGGCTTCTGCTATCCTGATCTCCCCAAATGAAAGCCCTTTGTATCTGCTCAATTTCATCACAAAACGTTACTGGTAAAAGACCATTCTGCATATGGAAAGAAGGGATTGCAGCAATGACCGATTTCACCAAAGTAACTCGACCAGCAAAAGAAAGGCAATGGCTTTTCCAACCATCCAGTTTTGAACGTATCCTATCCTTGATAGCTCCATAGTTTGCTTTAATATATCTCCCTTGTTTAACAATAGAGCCTAAATATCTGCCAATACTAGAAGTGCGCTTAAAGCCCATTCTGTTGACAATCCTTGTAGCAACTTGAGTATCAGTATTCGGGGAAAAATAAATCAAAGATTTATTTGCACTAACACTTTGCCCCGACATCTCACAAAAGAGATTAATACAATCCATAATCACCTTAGCTTGCTCCATATCTGCTTCCGCAAAGAGAATGATATCATCTGCAAATAAAAGGCGGGATACACTCGGCCCTCTTCTGCAGACTCTAATAGGCTTCCACGAACCCATAGTCACTTTTTCAGCGATCAAGTGGGAAAGCTTCTCAACACACAACACAAAAATATAAGGAGATATTG